ATTCTAATACTAAATTTACAATGAACTCCTAACTTTTGAGTTTCCATTCCCACCTGTGATTACCATCCTCACCCATGGTGTAGAACTTTGCTAATTCACCTAGGAAATTGTTAAAAATTCATGCTCTCAGGTACAGCATGAAAATACACATTAACAAGTACCCGAGATGTGTTGTGTGCACAGGAAGATTAGAGAAACTCACTGAAAATAATTTAAAAGTTTGGGATCATTGGGGTTGAGATTTTTTTAAAAAGTCATACAGAACTCAAGATACGAAGCCATTCAATCATGGTAATTTCTTATACTTTCTCATTTATGTTAAATGGTACATTCAAAGTTTCTACTTGTTCGACTTTGGCATTTTGTATTTGGCTAAGAAATCATCTGAAACCCCTTATCTTCACAAACTTATTGCTAGAGTTGCACATTTTAAACTATTTCACCAACTAGTGATGATTCACTCTTTTCTCATCTTAAATCTTATTGTTTATAAAAGCTTTATTTTCTTGGTTTTCTCAAAGAATCAGCTTTTGGAATCATATGAATCTTACCAATATAAAAGGAAGGGGGGAATTTAATGTGAATTATTATTATGGATTTGTTTTGCTCTCCATTAACATAAAAGCCTAGTACATATGAAATCTTAACTTCCAAGGACCAAAGCATAAAAATACAGGATTTATACCAATCTTATAATTTGTGAATGTTTGTATAGGGATCTACCTCTGCCTAAATTGCCTTTCTGCATACCTAATCACATTCTAAATACAATTTATTACCCTAGTAGCGTTGTCACTAAATCTTTACAGTTTACATGCTTTTAATATGCACTGTTGCATTTGAGATTCGTATTTCAAGAGGTCTAACTGGAAATCTTTTACTAAGGGGAATTTAGTCCCTAAAACGATTTGGATGTGCTGAGATCACATGAAGCCATCAGTATGTCATCTCCTCAAATGGACAAAAAGCCACTGGAGTGTCAAGCAGAGAACTAAGGAAGTCTCTCTCTTATGAAGGATTGAAATTTTACCCATGTACAGATGCAGAAAATGACAGATTTCAAATATTCACTCTAGAAAGGACTATTTCAATTAAGGAATCAATTAAGGAATCAAGGTTTTGTTTACCCTCTTAAAAATGTATTAAAAATCTATTACACACTTTCAATTTTTACCTTTTGCAAATATTCGGACAAGGATTTCAAAAGCCAGGTGACTGTATGCTTTTGCACACAATTGACCCGATTAGGAAAATAACTGTAAACACATATAGTTCATTGAATTTGGGATTTTAAGTTCACCTAGATGAGTCTTATGTTGATCATTATGGGGAAGTTATTACTAAGATGCTGCTGAAGTCCTTCACAAAATTAATTTTAATCTTGTGCTTCAAATCATCAGACCTACAATAATCTATGTTGTAGTACGCATTTATAGAAGTAAGCCTTTGAATAGCCTTTCTTTGTGATTTATGTAGTTCTGCTTTAAGTATCTGGACTAGAAACCATCTTAACCTCAGTATTTCTGTGCTGAAAACATCTTTATTCTCAATAAACAGTCCTGAGTATTAAAAAAGAGAAAATAATCCTCAACCCTTCCTACCTCAGAGAACTGATCAAGTCACCTATTTGATACTGTGTTCTCTTTAATCAAAACATTCTTCTCTCAAACATCAAGAAAGAAAAGACATAAAATGACACAAGTAGTGAAGTTTATGGCATTTAAGTTTTAGATTTGAAACACCAAAAGATGAACATTTTGACATTTTACATATGCAGAATAGTTTATTATGACATAAATAGAATGTAAGTCTGGTTTTCAAAGATTTTTGAATTTGTTATTTTGTTTTTCAGAAAGATCTAAATTTAAATCCTGCAACAGCGCTCCTCTTACCCAATTCCTAGAAAACTAAGATACACAGACACTACAGGATTGTTCTGGTTTTTGAGAAGTTAGACCTGGAATCCACAAAATATTCCCCAGAAAATGTCCCTTTCAACTAATGCCACTCACAAATTCACCACACACCCCCCATTCAGCATCTGCCATGGTACAGTCCCTCAGTCTGGATGGGGAGACTACCAGGCAAGAGAGTTGTGCAGAAGTAGCCAAATGAATACATTACGGCTATTTAGGGAAACCCTGTTGGAACAGTGAATGTAACTTGTCCTTCTGTCAATGGAGGACAACTCAGCCAAGAGAAAGGAAAGGGAACTGGGCAGAAAGGACAAGCACATAGATAACAGGCAAGTTGTTACTGAAGCACAAGATTTACCGACAGGGCACTAATAAGGAGGACATTGCTGAGTTCCTATTAAAGTTTTAATGTCATCCTTTGACATATTTAGTGCATTAATTCCTAATACAACCTTGAAAGGTTTATTATTTTCCAGATGTGGTAACGGAAACACAGAGATTAAGTAATTTATATATGACCACACATCTAAGAAATGGCAGAGGACTGAAACCCAGAAGTAATCCTTTATTCCTAACCTACTTGGCAGCTATATGGGAGGATGAATTTAAAAAACAGACAAGATTATAAGAAATGTTTGGAACCTTACTGCAGTAGTACAGGCAAAAACTGACTTCAATCTTAAATGCTGGTAGGAAAGCACAGCAAACAGGCCTATAAATTCTGGACTCAAGACTCCCTGGATTAAAACAAATTTTGGCTTCACCAACATACAAGCTGTATGTATACAAAATACTTCTGTGCTTGTTTCTCCATTGATAAACTAGTGATAGCAATGACTGCCTGTGAGATTTCCTGAGAATGAGACCACACATGTAACTAGGTTTCACTAACAAAGTTAGCAATTATTAATGGTACAGATGAGAGACAGTGAAAGATCTGTTATACTGAAGGGACTAAAATTAGCTGGGTTTAGGGAATGATTTGGGCCCAGGCAGGAGTAATGGAAGAGATTAACAAGCTTGTAGCTTACCAGGTAGCTTACTACACAGACCACCACTGGCAATGAAGAAACTGATTTATGGCATGGATTATTTTCTTTTCTTTAAAGTATTAACAGGACATCTACAAATACACATCTATAGTGTTCAACTAAACACAAATGTGAACCTCTAGAAGTGGTATACAGCAGTCATTATCAAGAAAGAATAAAATGTGAATATAAAGCAGATATCCAAGTCATTTTTCATTCTAAAAACTATGGACTTTCATTTGGGACTAATGTATAAAATGCAACAAAATTCAAATACATGAAAATACAGAAAATGAGATTTGGTACTAGGAAAATGGGAGAATGACTTCTATCAGATGCATATTCTGTTTAGAAAAATTAGTGTGGTAAAAGCATTTTGATCTTGTTATCAACACCAAATACTTTCAAAGATTTTGCAAAGGTATTTACCCCAATACAAAATTTACAAAAAGTACATTTTATGTAACATAGTTTTTAAAAAACAACAATGGAAAGAGTTGGGCCTCAATACTGTCCCAAGAATTATTCCCAGCAAAAATCATTATCTCTTAATGGTCAGAATGCTGATCAATCGATTTCATCTACTGAAAGTCATTTCTCCCTAATATTTTAGGTTTTGATCCTCTAACTAGGTAAAAAAGCTAACATAGCTCTGCTTTACCCACTTAGCAAAGTATCAAGTGATGTGAATTGTGTTGCCATTTGTGGAACAAAATCTTCACTTAAAACTAAGTATTACTAGGATTTAACTGTACCATCATGAAACTCAAAACACTAGACATAAGCACCCCACAAGGCATGGCAATTTCAGTCCAAAGTACCTGTAATACATTTAGGAGACCTGTAAAACTTACACTTCTATTGTCTATCACCGTGTAGATTCTAATGCAGTAGTGTTTGGCACGTCAAAATGAAAATAGAGATCCCAAGGTTTCACCTGAGGACTGGAGGCAGTAGTTTGCAAGGAAGGAGTGCTGTTGACATTTTTGGCAACAGAGTATTTCTGACGTACAGTTGTCTACCTCACAACTAAAGATTTCATATTCCTGCTCTACTACCACCCAATACTAGAACACAACCCATGTAGAGTTCAGAATATAAAAAGTGTTTTCGTGCACCCCTATCAATTCTAGAATGAGTAACAGAAACCTGCTTTTTTAATTTTGATACATGTGTCTACCTGCTAACATTATATAATGAAATCCTTGATAGCAAGTGGCCCTTGGACAGCCCTAACCATTTAATCTCATTTTCTATTTTACAAGGGTGCATATGATCACAAGGTAGATTCTACAGAGTGCATAATTAGTAAGCAAAGCTATCAAAAAGTAGCTGCGATGCTCAACAAAGGGCAAAGGCCGCTTCTTGTTCAGGGGCAACACCATACCTAAGCCCCGTCTCACCTGTGTTGTCTGAGTTCAGGTCTAGACAGGAGGCAGGAGTAAGATGTTTGCTAACATGCTCTCTATGTTCAACTCTGTAAAGCAATGAGTACTACAAATCTAACTGGAAGAAACACTTCAAAATGTAATCACTAGAGACAAAACCACCAGCAGGGTCATTTGTCACAGAAAAGGTAAAGTCTCAGACGCTTCTTTTTGCCTCTTGATACGGTGGACACAAGAGTATTAGGGACAGGAATACCCTCAAAGCTAAATGAGGGAAACAACAGAGAAGCACTCCCAATTTGGAAAGCTTCTCTCAGGTATTACCCACCACTATCTCTTAAAATTAAAGAATTCTACATGCTGTACTAACTTTCACAGGGGACCAAAAAACTTCACAGCCTTTCACACAGGCAAAAACAAAACAGCTAATCACATCTGAAGGAAAACCCTCAAAGAGGTGCTAACATCTCTTTCCCACAGATTACATTCAACATTATCACACAGATTATAGTTCAAGAGAACTAAGACACTTACTCAGTCCTGTGAAAAAAAGGGAAGTACACCTTGGAGACGACCAGCTAATTTTACCCATCCTGACAAGAAGTTTTGTAGACTCATTTGGACAAGAAAGTAAATGAGAAAGTCAATTACAGATTTCACAAATATCTTGTACACCAGTCTGTAACTTTTAATTAGTATTAAGCTATCAAAGACATTGTACCTTTCAAGTTTGACTGAGTTTAACAATGTTTAGTAGTGGTTTTATTAAGAGAATGTTTGAAAGTATTCAACATTAAATTCAATTCACTTCACAATAATGTTTGTAAATACATTACTAACAACTTTTAAATATTCCAAATTAGCCAACTTGAAGTACAGATAGCTCCTCTCAATTCTTCTGAGGTGACATGAAGACTAAAAGAAGCCTAGGACTTGAGTCCAAGTCTCTAACCAACAACCACTAAATCATCACTGGTGAATTCATACGTGGGAACTTCAAGGTTGAGAGGTGCAGGCCCCTTCCTGATCCTGCCAGAGGCATCATAGTGTGACCCATGGCAAGGGCAGTAATAACCACCAAAATCTCCTGCATTTGCAATGGGTACACAACCAAGATGAGTACAAACACCTATCAGGATAACCCATTCAGGTTTCTTCACTCGTTCTAAATCATGCTGTGGGTCCCTCAACTGGGACACTTCAACTGCCGCTTCTTGCTCGATTTCCTTCTGGGTTCTGTGACGCACAAACAGGGGTTTGCCTCTCCACTTGAAAGCCATGTTCTTGCCTTCTGGAATATCGGACAACTTGATTTCAATTTTCGACATGGCCAATACATCAGCAGAAGCACTCATGCTGGAAACAAACTGGGAGACCACATTCTTGGCAGCATATGCGACACCTACAGTAGCTGTTGCAGTTACCAAATATGAGAACCCTTTTCTAGCTTCACTGCTCTCTTTTGAAGACTTTGTGCTATCTAAAACTTCGGCACGACGATAGTCGGTGAAGTCAGGCACTCTGACATCTGTGTGGGAGTAACGAACAGATGCAGGGACTGCAAGACAAAAGGAAGTTTAGAAACAATTGGATGAGAGACACAAGGACAAGCATCAGGAAACAGACTTCATAGATTCACATCAAATTCTAAAAATGCAAAACATGATACTAGTTTCCAAAATACTCAAAACAGGAAGTGCTAACATATAAAATACTAAAAATAAAATTCAAAATTCCTAACATCTCAGGGCACCCAGTTAAAAGTTAAATAGCACAATAAATAGCAATATTTCAGTTTCTACAATTGCTAATGCCTACTTCACAACCATGCTAGGTACTTCTAATATTCTCTGCTTAAGAAAAGATTCTCAAATCTCATCTAGTCTACCTGGGAAGCTGTGTGATCATCTTAAGGCACATGTCTAGTCTCATATCCTACTCGCTTTGAAAGAACTACAAAACTTCACAAAATATTAAATGAAAAGAATATTTTGCCATCTTTTAATATATATTCAGTAGCTTAAAATTTAAGGATTTCTCTTTTAGACTTTAAGGCATAAATTAGTATTACTTTACTTTCAAATAAAATCACTCATGGATAGAAAAGGACATTCATCATAGAATAGTTCTCAACATGAAATCTAAAAATAAACAATGGTTTTAACTTAGCAGGAGGAAAGAGGAAAAGTTCGTATGTTGCCTTCATCGGTGATGGGCAGTAGCTTATATAAAAAAGACATTATCTTTCATTTTCACTTTCTTCTTGTCTCTCAAGCGGGACTCTCATTGTAGGCTATAAAATGGGCCAAATATTTGTGTCAAATGAAGGTTAACTGTAAGTACCTACTGTCTACACAGTACTTGGGGAACAAGTAGTTTGCTTAAAAACAAGTTATGCCCTCTCATTCTATTATAAATTTCTGACCAAAAAGAAAGCCCAAATTTATATCACTTTTAAGTATGTTTCAGGATGGAAATCTTTTTAGAATTACTTATCTGTTTTAGAAAATATGCCCTAAGGTTTCCTTTTTAGAAAAGGACATTGTAAATTGTTTCCTTTTAGTACATTAACAGTACACAAGCTAATGGATAAGAACACTAAACAGAATGAATGTCATTCTCACCCAGACTTAGTGTCCACCCATCTCTTGCAGATTACATGCGCTTTCCTGGGTTATATCATCAAGAAGCCTTTAGGACAGTGAACACGAAACTTTTAGAGCTTTCAATGAATCACCACCCCATTGTGGTGCATATGCCATAGGCTCACCACCACTGTTAGGATACCACCACTGTTGCCACGTTGCAAAAACCAGTAAGTAATTAACATAAACTATATTAGGTCTGAGATTTAGAAGCAGAGATGCTATATTAGTTCTAACATAAAGCAAGATCACATACTTATGGAAATATAACCTGAAACAGGATAATCTGAGGCATTTTAAACATTTTTAAAAGGTTTTAAGCTAAACTTTGATATACCTTAAACATCTGCATAAGACATGCTACCATAATACAAACTTCTTTCCCAACTCAACGATCTTCTCTGTTCCAAACTTTTCCACACTGTTACTAATCATGCCATGAAACTGAAGACATGATTCTCAAGACATTTTTATCCTTGGTCTTTGTTGTTCTACATTATTTGCCTGATTGTAGAAAATATCTCTATAAAGCAGTTGTTGTTGTTGTTTTAAAGAAACCCTTTAAATAAAATTCTACAGACGCTTTTTACCTTTGCTAAAATTTCTGTTTTTCTCTTACCAGGCCTCAAAACAGGTTTGGAATGAAATACGTACACCAAAACCCAGTAATGTTCCTCAAGATTCACTCACAAAAATTTTGGTCCAACTTTAAAATCTGAGGTGGTGGGACATAATTCTATCCCCTGAAGTCCAAGGTCAGAGGATCAGCAAATAAACACAATACTAAGTGGAAAATGATCCATGCTATAAAGACATATAAAAGAATGAACAAATATAAAACTTTATTGACTTGATCCTAAATTGAGACAGAAAGGAATGTAAGAAAACTGAGTAGATCTTTTAAAGTGCAGACAAGCTGAGCCTGGTGGCAAAACCTGTTGTCTTAGAAGTACTGCAGGCTGAAATGGAAAAATCACTTGAGCCACAAGTTGAAGACTAGCCTGGAAAACATAGTGAGCCCTCATCTCAGGAACGAAAAGAAAAGAAAAGGCAGAGTAAAAAGTGGTCCAAAGGGGCCAACTTGAGTAATGTATACAGAAGGGTCACAAATTCAAATGCCAGTGAAGCCAGGCAGATAACACAAAACAACTTGGTGAGGGCTATCTGTGCCTAACCCAGACAACTATGGGAGCAACCAATAGACAGCACACTGCGGATTTCACTCATCTAGAAAATAGGGCCCAGTGCTGCCAGTTTCCAATATTTCAAGAGACTCCAGAAGTTTCCCCAGTTTTTAGTCAGTGCAATTTCACAATCTCCATTCAAAAAATATAACGCGAAATAAAGACACAGCACAGAAAATAAACTGGGATCTTTCCATGGAGGCTGTGGTAACTCCTGGTAAGAGCTAATGGCTTACACTTTCAGTCTTGTCATATGCATCCTCTCCATATATTCTTGTGCTGGTCATTTTATCTTTTGTAATCAGTTTCTATCAACCTCTGCCTTCTCTGGAGGATTATGCTGTGTCATAAAAGTGCCTGAAAACACTGCTGACCTTAAGTGACCTTAAGTTGTGTGTGACTCTCAGGGAATGGAGAATTAAAGAGGAACCCGTAGTGGTGAAGTGGGTAACGAGCCAAATCCTAGTAACAGTTCATACTTTTGAACATTTATTGAAGAACTTTTTCGTATAAACCTCACAACAACCCTACGAAATTCACAGAAGCAGAAATCTATTTCGCAGAAGAGGAAAAACGTTTACAAACTTGCCCAAGGTCAAACTACCTATAAACAACAATACCTGTCAGACTCTGCTGTGAGCAGTCACACACCTGGATCTTGAACTTTATGCAGTACAAACTTTAGCCTGCGAATGGGAGCTCAGACTGGCACCAACGCAGAGAACCCCTAACAGGCCAGGGCGCCGGCACGGCAGCATCACTAGAGCGCTCCATCAGCGTGCCCCCAAGTAGGCAGTGAGAGGCCCGGCGGAGGTTCAGCGCTATTGAATGTTGCCCAGTCCAGAAACTGATCCTCCCAAACAGGGCCGCCCTCCTCGGCTGCCCCCCGAATCTAGGCCTTAGGGAGAGAGAAAGGGGAGTCCCCTCTCCCCGGCTCACCATTGAGGCTCACGGAGGCGACCAGAGGCCGTCCCACGGCCTGGCCACTCAGTGACTCCCGGCACAGGAAAGATCGCTTCACGTCCAGCACCATCGGCTCCGGGGTGGCGGACACCGAGGCCTGTACCAAAGGCCGCAGAGCGCCCACCACCCCGCGGGACGTGGCCGAGAGGACGGGCGCGAATGGGCCCGAGCGGGCGGCGACCGACAACATGGCGACAACTGTTCCGACAGCCGAGCTGGTTACAGGGATGACCTTCCGCGCTCGTCGCCAGCTTCAGCAGGCGCAGGACATATGACGTCAGCGCGCCGGCGACTGCGGAGCCCCGAGGGGCGGAGCGATCCCGGAAAGGCGTGCGTGGGGGCGGGACCTGTGGAGAGGCGGGGGAAGGGGCGGAGCTTGGCGCCTGATGCTTCTGTCCAGATTTCCTACTGCTCACTGGCTGTTTTGAATTGGTTCACAAGAAGCGAGGCAACCAAGGCTGCGAGAAACATACTGTGGGCTGAGTTTCCTTTTTTTATGCCAAAAACTTCATTTAGAGTGACCTAGCGATAACGAAAAATATAATAGTTTAAATGGGGGAAATTCTTCCTTACATACATATGACTCAGAATGTAGTAACCTCTATGTAATGATTCTTTGACCTCATATAACAGCAGATGGCCATAGATCCGTGTGTGAAGCTTAACAATGGTAATGATTTAAGTTTATTAAGCGTCTATCATGTATTGGATTTTGTGATTTCCTGCATTCTTTCACTTGTAATTAAAGTCCCTACGAAGAAACAGCAATTGTTACCAACATCTTATCACTGAGCAAACAGTCTCTGTAGAGTTCTTTTCCCCGGCCAAACTGCTTTTAACACAGTTTCCCAAGGTGAGACTTTAGGGGATGCAGGAAAAGATAGCTTTGTGTACATAGCAATGAAATTATTCCTTTTTGACTTTCAATCTTTGTGGTGACATCAGTACAAAAGTCTGTCGTCGGTACTAATATAATTTCAATTCATCTCCATACCTCTCTATACCTCAGTTTCCTCTCACATAAAGGTGAAGCAGTATGGATGTGTGAATATGAGCACCAGGAAGCCTCAAGTGAGGGTTTGCTGGCATTGCTTTTATTTGGACCAGGACCTCTTCTGGAATAACACTTCATTCCTCTGATCCCTGATGACTCATTACTGTTCCTCTCTAGGTTCACAACACACAGACCACTTTCTTCTTGACTCTCTCAAAACCAAGCCTTGGCCATCCTTGAAGCCTCTGCGACTGTGCTATACTCTTTAAGACTGTGAGCTGCTTCCTCAAGAGTCACCCTGACCAGGTTTGTTACCTAGCTAGCACAGAGCTTGCCCCCAGCAACTAAAGGGTTAAACATACATCCCCACAGCTCCATAAGCCATGCACAGTTTGAGTTCTTTATATGAAATTACTCAATTCCTAACAGGATGATACAGCCTTAAAGGGTGATAAGGTTAAATGAAGAATGAATAAATGAACCTGCACAAGGTCTTCACAGCTTTCCAGTAGGATGAGCAGGACAGAAATTGTTATCTCCGGACTCTCTGGATTCAGTTCCAGCTCTACTACTCACTAGCTAGGTTCTCGGGCAGATTATATAAACTTTGTATGTGCTTCAGACTGCAAAATTATAGTATCTATCCCCAATGAGTCATTATAAAAATTAAACAGCTCAATAGATGTCAAATGCACAGAATTCAGCCTGACATAAATAAGTGCTACATAAATATCCATCATCATCATCATAATAATAACTCCATTTTCTAGATGAATAAACTGAGACTTAAAACAAATTATCTACCCAAAGACACATCATTGTTCTGGGATCTAATCCAGTATTTTGCAGGGAGAAGGCTAACTCTGTGGCTGGATATGTTTTCTGTAGTGAAAAGAAGGAGTTTAACATCTAGGAGTGGTCAGATTGGAACTTAGACAGACAGGGGATGATCTGACTTCCTTTTGGCATTTGTTAGCTTTTTTTTTAACAGAAAAGGCTACAGTATTACCTGTTATGCTTCAGCTTACTCTTTTCTTAAACAATGCATCTTGAAGGCTCTGGATGCAACAATCTGGCTGACATTCCAGCTGTACCCCTTACTAGCTGTGTGACAAGGTAATGCTGAGCTTCAGATTCCTCACTTGTAAAACAGGAGGGAAAATGAGATTGTATTGCAAATTAAATTAAATAATGCCTATCAAATGTATAATATAGTGTTTGGTATACAACAAGAGCTTAATAAATGTTTGCTGTTATTTTTGTGAAGTAGAAGGAAAAAGTAGCAGTAAGCCTTGCACATAAATAGTTGATAAGCTTCTTAGTAACAAGTGAATCTGAAAAGCAAAGTATGTGGATGGACAAATGCAACAGGAGGCACAACATAAAGTCTTTGTTTTAAGCAGTGGATGGTTTGTTTCAATCAGATATGAGGGGTCATAGTTTGAACACCCATTATCTCACCTGTCAGTTCCACTAGAGACCTATTGAACAAATGTACATGGTGATATAAACCTTAGAACTATTTACTAACTCTTACAGATTGTGAGTCATACACATAGACACTGATGCACAAGCTAATATCTGCCAGCACTCCATCCTCCAGATGCCCATGTCCTATTTCCTGGAACCTGAGAACTTTACACATTCCCTTATATGACAAAGAGACTTTGTGGATGTGATTAAAGATTTTGCGATAAGATTATCTAGAGTTGTCCAAGTAGTCCAGTGTAATCACAGAGTTCTTATAAAAGAAAAGATGGGGGTGGGGGAAGAAGGAGCACTGGAATTGATAAATGTATGTGGTTGATAGAGGCTGGGAAAGGCCAAGAAACAGATCTTTTTCTAGAATCTCCAGAAGAAATGTAGCCCTACAGATCAGTTTTAGACTTCTGATCCCTAGAATCATAAGATAAACTGTGTTGGTTTAAGTCACTAACTTCTTTATAGTGTAATAGCAAGTTACACACACACACATTTGTCTTTTCTTCAAACCTTGAAAGATGTGACCACCATTGGACCTGTGTCCAGTGCTGTTGGCCAGAGCAGACACTCCCTGCTACTCTGGGTCCTCTCTCATTGTGTCCACTTCATCAGTTTCATTTCCTGCCTATCCACTGAGGCCTCTGACCAGGGAACTCAGGTTTCCAGAATATTATGATAATGTTTGACCCATTGTTAAAAGTAGTCCAATGCTAACAAATGGTGAAATCGCCTAATTCCAAGAGTGACAGTTGTAATCGGGGATTTTTCTTATTCCCTATCATCTGGGAAGCAGTTTATGCAGGGGTTGGAGTGGAGAAATGTATTGCCCTCTTGTTTATAACATGGCAATTATGCCTGTAATTCTTGATGTGTGATCCACTGAGGAGCAGGTACCTCCTCTGCCACACACAGCTCACCTTGTGTCTACACAGAAGGGCAGCTGCCTCTCTGCAGCAGTGGCCCCACGCCTGTGCTTGTTTCCACCCCATTACCTAGGGAAATTCCTGGCTTCCTAGGTCAGGTTCCAGCCACTGTGACAGTTTCAGGCTCTCCCATCAGCTGGTGTCCCTCGCTTGAGCAGTGAGACATGAAGACTGGCAGCCGCTGGAGAACTGCACAGACTGTCCCCGATTTAAGCCATTTAAAATGCATTTGTGTTCCATAAAACTCGTTTCCGTAATTCTATGCCCCTACCTCTTTGAAAGTCGGTAACCCTAGGGAGGAGAACAAATTAGCCAGAGAGGAGTTCAGACATGCTAATATTTTAATCGCTCCTTTCTTTAGCACATTAGTTACATTCATTAAGTATGATTAATTTGCAGGCTTTGTTGAGAATCGTATCAATTTCCCTATCAGTCATACATCCATCTCTTGCCGAGCAAGCTGTGGCAGTGGCACCAAAAATCTCCATTTTTTTTTACACCTGGATTGTATTACGTGCCCCCTGAAAAATTTGATGAGTTAATTGAACTCATTTATATAAGATGTTTGCTAAGAGCCTGGGCCTCTGAGTGAGGGTGCCTCTGTTGAATCCAAACCCCTCTTGCTCTCTGATTTGTTTGGGGAAGTTACTAACCCCTGTGGGCCTTAGATTCTTCATTTGAGAATTCATTTGTTCAATTAAAAGACATTTGTTCAATGATTACTATATGTCATGTTATATGTCTATTGCTGGAAATACAGTGGTAATTACAGCAGACAAATATGTTTGCCCTTGAGGAGCTTGTATTCTACAGGGGTAAACTAGACAACAAACAATAAAGTAGGTGAGATGGTGATACAATCTATGAAGAAAGAAGGCAAGATGGCATAAAGAGAGTCCTGGCCTAGTGGTAGAGGGTGTTACTGCTCAAAGAGAACTCGGAGATCACCTGTTCAACCATATTCCCATTTTACAGGTGAAAAATGATATACCTCAGATGTATGCTTTATGGGTCATTCATCAAATCATCAAATGAGTACTGAGCATCTCTCCAAAATTCTAGGTCCTGGCTAGAGGCCGGGTTCTCAGGCACTTTTCTCAAAGCCCTGGTATTTGCTCACTGCACTGAGCTTTGACTCTCTTTCTCTGGGTATGACAGGGAACCAGAGAAGGTGCTGTCCCACTGGCATTTGCTTGCTTCCAGCTCCATGTTGATTCCCAAGATGCAGAATGGACAGTGAACCAGTATGCTACTGTGGGAAGGCATTCAGAATGTGACTCACTCTATCCTTCAGAAAGCCATCATTTGCACATCATGTTGGGCTTTCTTGCCAGCCCGTGCTCCACCACCCTGTAGTCCCCCTCAGAGTAGTCATATCCTGAGGCAGCTGAGGTTAACACAAGCTGTTGTGATAGAGAATTAGACATTTTCAATAGGGAAGGGAGAATTGGGGAAGTAATTTGAAGAAATCTGCCTCAGGCAAACCTGGGATAACTTATCAAAGACAAATAATTTGTTCATGTAATAGTGATGCAATCTATGGAGGAAAAAAAACCAGACTGGGTGGGGAGTTCTAGGCTGATGGTAGAGGTATTACTGTCCAAAGGAAATTCAGAGATCAGTTCAACCATATCCCTATCTTTCAGGTGATAAAGAGAGTAACAATGACTTCCCAATCTTCCTCTCCACCAACCAAATGGATTTTGTATACCTACTTATCTTAGCTTCAACTGAAAGCTACTAAAATCTTTTCCTGTCAATCAAGTGAAGCTAAAAGTCAGAGGATCTAATACTGGGATCTCACCTTTGCAGAGCGTACGTAACTCAGCCGACTGCCTTTTCTGTGATAAGGAGCAAGTTCCCTGAGTCTC